TATAAATATATGTACATAGACCTATATCCCAGTTGTTATATATTAATATATTTACATATGTGCATTCTTATGTTTCTATCTCTGTACTTCTCTGTTGCCTACTTGTTCTTGTCTTTATTTCCTTTTACTTTCCACATGTCCCACTATCATGTTCTACCTTCATTCAGCTTTCTGTACATTTCATCGGCTACATTGCACTTGATTGTATCCCACCAGGCATTCTATGCCCTCCTTCCCATTGATTTTACATCTCTTATTTATTCCTGTCCCTGGGTTTGTTGGCTCCCCACTCCTTTTCCCCTACCTCCTCCTCTCCTTTGTCCCCTGGAAACATCCGTTTTTCTGCTCCAGATTATTTATTCTGTATATCTTATATAGATAGATATGAAAAAATCTCCTTTGTCCCCTGGAAACATCCGTTTTTCTGCTCCAGATTATTTATTCTGTATATCTTATATAGATAGATATGAAAAATATATATAGGAAAAAATAGCCTATGAATAGTTCCAGGTCTGTCTGCTGACCCTGATGAATGTTTTCTGATCGAGTCTGATGCCGTGCCAAGCCCTCGCCCCTTAGTCCGAAGTCTATTTTTGGTATTCCTTGGAGAATTTGTTACTTTGCTCCCCTAGCTACTCTCTTGTGTTCCCTCCTGTAATGTCCTAGTGTGGTGGGGGTCAGACTCAGCACAATTCCCGCACTGTGTCTCCGGTGCTGGCGCTGTTCTTAGCTCTTATTATTTTCAGTAATTTATAAATCTTTTCATAAATCTATATTACAGGCTTATGAGAAGAAAAACCCAAAAAGCTAGTTGTTGCAAAAATGTCTTATCCTAGTTTTTCAAGAGAGATACATTTGAGATTATGGTGGAAATATTGCCTGCCTTGACTACCTTTTCTTTTTAAAAATAATTTTACTGGCCTATAATACACATACTAGGAAATTTAATATATGACCAAGAGTTGTGCAATCATTCTACAATCAATTATAGAATATTATTTTCTCTCTCATAGTCTGTTTTTAGCTCCACATCCCCACCCCCAAACTGTCCTGCCATGCCCTTAGGTAATTATTAATCCAGTTACTGTCTCTGTAGATTCTCCCATATGGAATTCACATATAGAAAATAGTACACAACAAAAAGAAAGATATAACTCCATTCCTCCAACAATAATGACAAAACAAGAAAAATTGTAATCACAAAGAAAGCATAAAATATTAAAATTACAATAATTTAAATTGTGTCAAAGAGAACAAATGGTAATTTTGATCCACATAAACTCCCCTCCCAGGGGGATGGACTACAGGAAAGTAGGTGAAGAGAGACATGGGCCAGTGTAAGAAATGAAAAAATAACAATAATTTGTAAATTATCAAGGGTTCATGAGGGAGGGAGGGCGGGGGAGGGAGAGCAACAAAAATGAGAAGCTGATACCAAGGGCTCTAGTAGAAAAAGATGCTTTCAATATGAAGATAGCAAGAAATGTACAAATGTGCTTGACACTATGGATGGATGTAGGGATTGTGATAAGAGTTGTATGAGCCCCAATAAAATGATGTTTTTTAAAGTGATCATTTCAACCTAACTACATCTGTCATAATCAACTTTATGATGCTCTGTGTTTGATAGCAAGGCTATTTACATCCCTGGAAAATGTTCAGAGGGGATTCATCAAGGCTTATTTCTTGTGGGGACCCTACAAATGGATTTTGCACTTCCACTGTCACCCATAGCTTTCTGCAAACTGGGTGTTCACAATTTAGACTCTTCCCTTAGATTTGCAACTTACTATTAACACTCCTTGGTGCATACTGGCTGGTGTGTGTCTTCCATGGGGACTTAGTTGGATATCTCACTTAGATGGCTACTTGTTTTAAGACAAGCCTTTAAGACCCCAGACAATATTCTTTCTGATAGCCAGGTTCGATCTGTTTTCTTCACCACACTCGTTATAGCACTTAGAAGCTTTAGTGATTTCTTCTTGAGGGTGAGTATTGAGTAGGACCGTGTCAGGAGAACTAATGAATTGTTCTTAGGCAAGGGCTATGTGATTATTGACTACCTATTCTTGAGCTCTACTGATCTGTCTTGGGAAGGGGTCAGAGGGCTAGGAAACCTTCTCAATAGGCTGTAAGTGACAGATTGCTGGCTGAACTCTGATAAGTATGATTGACCAAAAGACTTGACAATTTCTCATCTGGCTGTCCATGACCAAATTTGTAAATACATTTCTGCCTTTTGAATGACTAAGCCATTTCTTTCACAGGATATTGTTATGAGATAAAGATGGTAAAAGGAAAATTATTATATGCATATCATAATAATTGCATTTAGATCTTTCAGGAGAGTTCTGATTTTGGATTAGATGATAAACACTAATTTAGATATCCAAAATATTGTCATGGCAATTCTTCATGAAACTTATATAAATTCTTTTTATTTAATATAAAACAAGTGGAAACAATAGCCAACAAAAGGATTGGTGGTAGATGGCAGGAGGATGTGGGAGTGTTTAGTAATCTTATCTCTGAATTTGAGTCCTGATTCTATAAGTGGTTATTTTTGTCTAGTAATGAAATATCTCTGATTTCCTAATCCTCCTTCTGAAAATTCTGTTTCTTAATATGCTTCATAATCTACCTCTAGCTACTTGCAAGAAAAACTGTCCTTGTAGGAAAACTGTCCTTGTGTTTCCATCTATTCACATGAAAATTTACAATTCAATATCATTTATAAGTATAAATCTTTTCATAAAGGAAAATAAAGTTGAAATCATATTTAGTAAAATAATATAGTTAAAAGGTTGTGTTAGAGAGGTTGAATTCTGGATGCTGTTTTAATAACAGTCTGAGTGTAATCATAAAATGATTCAGCACCAAACAATAATGAGAAAACATGCTATTATTCAGCAACACATTTAATGCTACTAATTTGTGTTCAAGTGAGCCATTTTCCTCTCCATCTCTTAGGAGAAGATATTTTATTTAGGTAAAAAAGAAAGTAACCAAAACCCTGTATTTTAAAATACTTTTACAGGTGCTATAAACATGGAATAAAAATTTACCTTTTAGGAGACTACAGTGATGTAATATGGAAAGAAAACACCATGTAGATGGATGTCATTAAGTTGGACTACTATGTCATAGAAATCTTGGGTAAATTTCTTTCTAAGGGGTTCTTCATAGGTAATGACAAAATAGAAGAACAACAATCAGATAAGAGAAAGGCTTTGCTTCTTTTATTTTAAAGAAACAAAACAAACACAAGTTACACTTTTATAGATAGTTTGATTTATAAATGTCAGCGATCAAATAGAAGGAATGTTTATCATACATAAGCCATATGAAAAGTCTCAAAACAAAAAAGCACCTAACTATTCCTTAGCTAATAATCCACAGTTGAAGTGTTAAAGAGGGACACAATGGTTCTATTGACCTACACAATCTATTTTATCATTGTAAATGGTCCCATGAAACCCCCCAAGTCTACTGCCATCGAGTATACTTGAACTCATAAAGATTTTATAAGACAGAGTAGAACTGTCCTTTCTGTGTTTCCAGGGATGTAGATCATTATGGGAGCAGGAACCCACGTGCTTTTCCTATAGACCTACTGGTGGAACTGAACTGCTAAACCCCCAAACAACTAGGGCTCCTAAGGATCTCATAGATGTGGATATTAATAATATAAACAAATCAGTATCAATAGATACAATATCATTATTTCAAACTTTGGATAATTAGGCAATTCTGATTATTTATTGTAAGACTATAGTCACCTAATCATAGAGAAATCATATAGTCTCTCCTAGCTTATGCTAGAAAGCCCCACAACTTTCCTCAAGGCTGCTTTCATATCCTTATTCCGGAGGCTGTAGATGAGAGGGTTGAAGAGTGGGGTCACCATAGCATAGAACAATGTTGCAACTTTCTGCATCCCAGCAGAATGTCCGAGTCCTGGGCTCACATACATGACCATCAGGGAGCCATAGAACAGTGATACCACGGCCAAATGAGATCCA